GCAATAGGTATTATTTACTTAAACCCTTCTCCCCTCTCACAGCTACGTTTCAGAGTTACTATTCGCACGGAGATATCCCGTTATGTTTACTGGTGATACGGGTGTCGGTAAATCTGTATTAGCAATTTCCGTGCTCAAGAAATTGCAAAAAGGTAACGTAGTACCGGTACTTTTAAACTTTTCCGCACAAACGGGTAGCGCACGTACACAAGAAATGATCGAAGCGCAATTAGAGCGAAGAAAGCGTACACAACTCAGCGCACCGTTCGGAAAAATGGTTATCGTTTTCATAGACGATGTAAATATGCCTAAACTGGATACATATGGCAGTCAACCGGCAATCGAGTTATTGAGGTAATGAGTGAGAATGTATGCTGCAGAGTTTAAGAGTTGCTTTTTCTCATTCGTGATATCCCGCAGGCAATTTCTCGACTTCAAAGGTTTATACGATCGCGAGAAACTCTTCTGGAAAGAAATCTTGGACGTAGTGCTGGGCTGTGCTTGTGCACCACCAGGTGGTGGCCGAAACCCCTTGACGCCACGGTGAGTCTACACTACGTATGTATATGTTTATGTGGGATAAATATTATTAAAATATTTTTAGTTATGTGCGTCACTTTGCGCTCTTCTCCCTGCCCAAACCGAATAATGAGACTTTGACGACTATATTCGCTGGCATACTAACAGGGTGTGTATGAAGATCCTGTATAATTTTTTTCGTACCCTCAGTACATCATATAGTCACATTACTGTTTGTATGTCTACCCCTTAGCTTCTTAGACACATTCTCCACCGTTATACGCCCGCTTGCCTTACCTATAGTCAACGCTTGTGTCGACGTTTACTCGCGCATCGCCAATGAAATGTTGCCCACGCCTGACAAGTCTCACTACATATTCAATTTGCGTGATTTATCCAAATGCGTACAGGGTATTTTGCAAGCCAAGAATACTCATTATAATCAAGAAATTCAGGTGTTGCGTCTCTTCCTCCACGAAACGACACGCGTCTTTCACGATCGTCTTATCAATGATGAGGATAAGGGCCTGTTCAATAATATCATGTACGAAGTCTGTCTCAAGCATTTCAGACGTGAAGTATCGAAGCGAGATGAACCGCCAATACTGTTTGGAGATTTTATGATTTTTGGAAAGTCGAAAAATGAACGCATCTATGAAGAGATCAGTGACCACAAGAAGTTGGAAAGCATTTTGAATGATTACATTGAGGATTACAACTCGATAACGGGTAAGAGTATGCGTTTGATACTCTTTCAGGATGCGCTCGAACATACGGTGCGTTTGGCGCGCTTGCTGCGTAGCGATCGTGGTTATGGCTTGCTAGTTGGTGTGGC